TTCCTGCCTATGCAGGGGTTTGGACTCAATGATCTACTGAGGTCCCTTCCAACCCTAGCATCTATGAATCTATACTGTCAGAGTTCAAATTCACTGCAGACCAAATCAGCCCACCCGCCAAAGATGTATTAAAATAGGCATCCCACCTGCCAAAAACATATTAAAATAGGCAATCCATCTTGGAAAGAGCCTCTTAGATTGCTGTATGTGTCAGCAATAATTGAAAAGGGAATACAGATAAACTATTAATAAGGATTTTGTAAACACTGCCATCACTTAAAGATTAAAAAGGTGGATTTGCAACCTAAAAACCGCTACTATGCAAATTTGAATAAGACACCTAAGAGAAATCCCTCCTGGTGATTTTAAATAATTTTACATATTCATGTTGCACTGCAAAAGCGCTTTCAAATGCCAAATCTGGAGTCCATGTTCAAATTTCTTCTAAGCACAAAAACAGAAGGTAAATATGCTTGAAAATAGACTGAAAGAATTTTCTCTTCAGGAAGGATAAATCCAAAATGGTGTCTGAGATTCTGCTGATTGCAGAGAATGCTGCATGTATTATATTAATCCAACTGGGTCAAACTGACTTGAAATGACGACCCTATAACAATTTTTTCTTAAAGTTAGTCCAGTTCTTCCTGGCATACACTCTCAGAAGCCTATCTGAGCATGAGTTGACATACAACATACCATGATCGTTGCTAAAACTTTATCCATTCCTTTCAGTCTATCCACGACAGCTACTATAGTGCTGTACAGCTATCACGAGTGGAAAACAGCCTACTCAAACACAAACAATGTGCATGTTCTGCACTATCAAGTGGCATAATGCAAAAAGGGAAAATAACACCCAGCAAATAAATTGCTCCCTCTCAAGTGTGGACTGTCAACTGTATTGTCATTTGCAAACCAAACCAAGTCTGTATTTATCTCTGCCCTGTATCAAGCATATTCACTTAGTGACTTTTAGCTCAGCAAGTCTTGTTACAAGTATCCAGAAAAATACTAAAGACTCTTACTCATCTCCAACCACTGAACTGGCTTAATCAACAAGTGTATTCATTGTCTTTTGATTACAGCAGCATCACCAGTAAGTCAACCTAAACAGATATAAATCCAAACTGCTTACTGGGTCAACAATTAGAAAAGATTCCTACAAATTCTCCTCTCGGTTATGTTCACAACAGAGTACAGATTTTACATTGGTTCATTAGCCCTAGGTGGGAGAGGCAAATGTTATTCTGTTATTGAACTAGGTCACCCATCACAACATGTCCCTATTACAGCCCATAAGTAAAACAATTTTCACCATAAAACCATGTACTTCCAATTCTGAGGAAAGCTCATTTTCCTATAAACACACCTCTCTTTACTCTAACTTGGTAAGCAAACCACTCCTCCTGTTTCCTAGGTAATATAACATTATTTTGTTAGTATGATTTTAAATGTGTTCCTAACCATTTAAGCAATCAGCTCCCAGAACAGCCTTTCAGTAAGAGTTGTGACAGACAAAAATATACATCATCGCTATTAATATGGAGCATCATAAGTTTAAGAAAGGGGATGCATGATGTGGTCCCTGCAATAGCAGGGAACTGGACTCAGTGACCCAGGGGCATCCCTTCCAGATGTATTTTCCAAAGAGAAACTCACAAGGAACATACACAAGTGTGTACACACACACACACACACACACACACGGTTCTCAATCTTTTGAGACTCAAGGCCCCCTTTGTTAGGCTCCAGGCACCCTCAGAACATTCCAGCTCTTTGTTTTCACTCATTTTTTGACTGCAGAAAAATAACACAGCATTTTTTCTGTTTCAGAGGACTCAGGAAGACCACAATAGCTCAGAAGGTTTTTAACACAATGGATTCCAATTTGAAGTCTCTGGGTTTTATCCTATGAATCACATTTGCACACCTCACAATGCACGGCACTCCTGAAAAGATCTCCAGGCACTTCAGGGTGCTGTGATATGCTGGTTGAGAATCATTGGTATCAAGTAAGAGAACCAGAGATACTGAAGACAACTGCCAGTCAAATGCATTCAGATTTGTCTGTAATTTAACCACGCAGATGGGGGCTAAGACAGATACAAATGGTGACCCATCTTCTGGGTTGGCATGCTTGACTTCCTGATTTTACACAGAAACTGAAAAAACATATTCAGATAAACCGAATGCGACTGTTTTGATAATCATCTTCAGCTCAACCATCAGGTAACAGTATTGCACACAGGGCATAAGGCCTCTCACAAAAAGAAGGGGAAGAAAAAGCGCACAGAAATCTACTTCGTCCTATTTCATCCAACCCCACAGAAAGGCGCATTACATCACACACTTACAATGCAGGGGGAGGGGGCCTTTTCCTGAAAGCAAGCTTCAGAGCTTTCCCTTTACTTTTCTGCTTGGTTCAAGAAGACTGCATTTAAAAAAAAACAAACCAAAACAAAACCAAAACCCCCCACAATTAAAATATAAAATTTTCAACAATGCATAGACAGAAAGAGATCAGAGTTTGCAAACTGCATGGATTAATACAGATGTATCAATGCTCCTCCTCTATGAGGTATGAAACAAATGTCCTGTAAAACAAAAGCAATACTCCTGTATCTCAAGTGTGTGTGCCTACACTTTAAAAACATTTTACCAGATTCAGACATGTGAAGCGAGATATAAGGGAGAGCCCTTCAGGGAGATTTGGCTTAGTTGGAAAGCCCATTTCCAAGCTGACACTAGCCAGCAAGTCTGGCTGGTTTGAAGGCTAGATGCCATATCATGGAGCAGCACCATTTGGTCCCAAATGCAACCGAAATAAAAATGCATCTGGTTACATAGGGGAAGGGGAGGGGGAGGAGGAGAGACAGACAGAGAAAAGAGGAGTGTGAGCGCGCGCAGAAGCCCGAGTGCTGATACACATTTTGCACAGAGGGTTTCAAGCGCTGGAATCCTCCAAATCCCAAACCTATTTTTTCACCCCCCCAAATCCAACATTTAAAATATACTGATACATGTTATTTCAGTTTGTACATCTCTCTAGTAAGCCCAGCTTAATAAAAACCACTTCCCCACCCATCCCTTGTTGGCCCTGGCAGCAGAAAGAATGCAAACCCATTTATATTTATGCAAATTTCTGCAGCAGATTTAAGAGCTTTGGGTGCAAGGAGAGGAAAATCACTGTTTAAAGAAGACTCTGTTTAAATAAAGCTATTTTTCTGCAACAATCCTTAGCAAGCCACTTGCTTGGAAAACAGAAACCAGGGGATTTAATCTGCATAGACTCTGCATTTAAAAAATGCAATCAAATCCTTTCAAAAATCTGCAATCCGCTTCTGCCCCAGTTTTTTTGCTTTTTTAATCCGAAAATCTTCTGCACGCGATACAAAACCCACGCCGATCCCTAACCGCCTGCAGCAAGTGTGCATGCCAGGCAGCCTCCCCGCGCGGCACCACGGATGAAGCGGTCTGGCGAGCCCCACAAAATGCAGCTATAGGTTAAAAACAACAAACCCTCCCCCAACCCCCCGAAACACCCTACTAACCTCATAAAGTGCAGCAGTGCTTAAATCCAGCGAGTTGAGGCATACAAGGTAGAAATGGAAATGAAAAGAGATCCCAAAAAGGATTTTGTATTGGTTGTTTTCAATTTGAAATGTTCAGAAACCAGCAGAGACACCGTCGGCCATTTTGGCTTGAACTCACTCCCTCCCTCCCGCTCGCTCGCTCCGTCTCTCTCTCTCCCTCTTGCTCTCTCTAAAGGAAGCAGCTTTTTGTGACCTTCAAATAGAGGCGGGTCACGTGACTCCCCGCGGCCTGTCAATCAAGCGAGAGGGCGGGCCGGCCGGAACCTTAAAGGCGAAGCAGCCTCTTAGCCCCTGCCGGGCTCGGGGGGCTGCCGCAGCCTTGCTCCTCGGCCTTTTCGCTAAAATCAGGCGTAGTCTGGGAGGCAAGCAGCAGGCAAGCCTTTTTAGGGAGATGGGATCTCTTTCATTAGGCCAACTGAGAAGTTGCAAAAAAAGTTCTTTGCTACCTTTGGGAACTATTTCTTGTCGAGAACTATTTCCCTAATTTCTCAGCTGATCTAATAACAAAGATCCAATCTCCCCAAAGAACCTTGTCTGCCTGTGTCCCGAGACCAACACAGCTACAACCAAGAAGCCCGCAGCATGGAATGAAAGATGCTTGCCTGTAGAATTTGGGGACATCCAAACCCTGAGACCTCCTGGCTTGGGCCTGCACATAGTCCCAAATCCATTGGCAAGCATCCCATCTGAAATCCCAGGGTGAGAGGTCTGGGACAGAGGATGCTCCCTGGTTGTAGTGTCATCAGGGTTCAAATCATGGGGGGGGGGCTGACCCCTAATAAGAGATGAAAGCCCTCCTGTAAGATTGAAAAGCATGGGGGGGGGGGGGGGGGGCGGGGGGAGGCGTCTGGCTTTTTTTTTTTTTTTTTTGAGATAGTTAGGCGCACCGTTTTTTTTTTTTTTTTTTTTTTTTTTTTTTTTTTTTTGTAGACCCACCCCCAGACTCAAAGTGTAATTTGAACCCTGAGCACCATATATGGTGATGGTGTCTAGAACTATTGAGTTCTGCCTGCTCAATCCATCTGGTTTTTGGAACAACTGAATTCTGCTCAATCAATATGATTTGGAACCAATTTGGATAAATTTGACCTGCAACACGAAATATATAAAAAGCCACTTTCAGCTAAGATCAAGTGAGGCACAGGGCATCTGAACCCCAAAGCCTGGGGCCTGCACATCAGATGCTTGCCTGGATCCCGGGAGCATCTGAAGCCCCAGACCAATAGGTCTGGGATGGAGGATACTTGCCCTGGTGCTACAGCCATACAGACTTGAAGATGGAGTTCTGCTCAGTTGAGTCTTGAAACGAAGCCCAATTGAATTTGGACCTGATCTGGGCTTGGTAAAGATTTTTTTAAAGTTGCTGTAGCCTCTGCAGTACTTCCTAGGTATTTAACATAGAATGACAGAAAATGCGGGTTAGAAGGGAGCTCATCTAGTGTTCTAGTCCAACCCTCAATCATGCCAGTGTAGTACTTAGAAATGGTAAAGGTTCCTCTAGTAGATCAAAGGAGGTGGATGGCCGGCGGCGGGGGG